ATGTTTTCACATTCATCTGCTGAAAGTGGAAAGTTTCTTTGTGCTTATTGAAAAAGATTTTAAGAGGCAGGGGCCTACGAGCAGGATTTGTGACATCACAAATAGTTTGGAAGTCAAACCTGGTCCAGTATGCAACTTAAACAAGTGGGATGTAGAAACTTTTTTTATGTATTTAATATTTAGTATTTAATTGGTCCCCATTTTCTCTTACTGCTGTGGTAAGTTTTAATGACCATAATCTTGTTATCTGTCTTGTTATATTGTCTGTATGTGTGTGTGTGTGTGTAGGTGTGTGTGTGTATATATATATATAAGTATAATTTCTTACATACATATTAGTCTTTAGATCTGTATTGTATATTCATAGCCCTGTATAGCATATATTCTTTGCTAAATCACTGCTCTATATAAATATATGTTTTATCCGGTGCAATTATTAATTTCTACAAAATACCATTACCTCCTGCTGTTACGTGTGCAATATTCTTTTTTTTTACTGAAAAATGTCTTAAATGTCAGACTGCGCTCCTCCATACACACAGTCCATGACAGCAGAGCAGCAGAGAGGTCGCGATGCAGACGTGAACCAGGTGAACTTGGTTGATGATAACACCGCTCATTACTGTAAGTTCAATGGAAACTTAGCGAGCAAAAAGCCAAAACTATGTAAATACACCTGTTCAAAAAGCACAAGCATGTACATGTAGAAAAGTAATATTTTAATTTGTTCTGCCAGTAATTTCTTATCCACTTATGCTATGTTTTACACAAGCACTTTGCAAGCTTGGCTTATATATTTTTATATATTAAAGACAAGCTAAAACTAAAAAGCTGTCTAACCATTAATCTTAGTTTGCCCCAGAAACTTCAAGTCAAGTCAAGTCAACTTTATTGTCGACTTTATTCTGAACTTAACTGCTGGCTGAGATAAACCAGCCCTTCTCTCTACCTGTGGTCCCTGCAGACAGTGAATCATATCAGAAGGACAGAGGACAGGATGAACAAGACTTTTTTTTTAAACATCACTTAGTATTTTTATGTCAGAAATAAGATTTGTTTACAGTGAAATATAAGAATTCATAGTGGCAAAGTGCTGTGCCTTCAATGTTGTATGTTTAACTTAGAATCATGTTGACCCTTAGTTATCTTTTCTGTTTGAGTGTTGGCAAAATTAAAATTTCCAGGTTTTACTTCTTTGATCCTGAAGGATTTGCAGGAGTGGAAGTGGATTCAGACATATTTGATGAACTTATGAAGTCAAGTCAACTTTCTTTCAAGGCTTTCACTGAACAATGGTTAAGCAATTAACAAGCCCTTGCATTTCTCCTCAAAAAGAATCAGCTTAATGTACATAATTTGTAGTTAAAGTGTAGCGCTGTTGTTTAATCTTTGTAAAACACAAAAATATTTGTTGGTGGTTCCTTTAAGACCACAGTGGTGAAAGTGCTTTCGTTCAGAGGCTTCATCAAGAGGCTGTTATTCAAAGCCATGGGAGTAACAAATATTTAAGAAGAATATGAGAAAACTAGAAAAATTCCTAACAGAAATTTTTGCAGTGTGCCTGCTCCCTGGCCAATATATTTATTGAATACTTCCTAATTCTTCTTTAAGCCTAGCTAAGCTAGAGTTTTAGCACACCCCATAAACACATTAACCAAAAGGCTAGCACTGCGAAGCTAAGCGCCTAAAATCGCTAGCCTAAGGGCTAGCTTTGGTTTTAATGTGTTTAATCGTATTATGCGCTCCTGAAGGAAGTGCTTAATGTACCATTAACGGAACAGCTCCATAGCCAAGGGGTAAAATATTTAGGTGCATTGCACTTATTTTTGGTGTTAAATCTTAAAACAATCATCTCAGCTTTAATTGTCTTGCTTGTTAGCAACCTTTTAATCTAATCCTTACTAAAGCGTCTAGCGGGATTGCCTCTGTAGTAGCTATGTGTGTTTCACAGGCACGCTTTGGTTGTCGTGGCAACCAGGGGAGACCAGCACAGCACTCTGTGAGACTCCCTGAGAGAAGACAGACAATCATTTAAGGCCTTCTGCACACAAAACCGAGGGCCGAGGAACCGTCGGAACAAGCGTTGGGACTGATCAGTTTGGCTCCCGTCAATCCCCTCAAGAGTTCCGTCCAAAAAAATGCCTTCCGAACACACCGAACGACGCCAACTGGAGCGTACGTTCTGTGCGCATGCCGAGGCGTAATACGTCACTAAAACAGCAAAAGGCGGCGCTAAATCTGTGTTGTCGCCACAAAAAAATGACAAACGAAATGACAGATCACTCTAGCGATGACCGACAGCGGCTCTGTGTTTAACTAGGTTTAGTCTAAAACTAGCTAAACAGAGCAGACGTGGTCCCGTCAATTGTTTTTCATAAGAGTTGTTGATGTAGGTAGTCGAGAAGCGATCGTTGTTGTCCATGTACTCACTGAAATTGGAATAGATGGCTAATAATACAAGTAACT